ATTTTTTAAAATATTGTATAATGTTGGAAGATCTGCATAACTCACTGAAACAATATTTTCCAAATGGCCAAAGCATCATCTTACAAAATCGTGCACATTGGTAAAAGAGCCATTCAAAGTGCAAGACAGACCGATGGCTTTTAAGGTAACAGAATATGAAAAGTTTATTGATATTGCTTCAGATTCCACATTGAAGCTAACTTTTACCTCTTGTCTAGTTTGAACGCAATATCAAAGCAGAATGTCCACAGTCATTAGAAAATCTATTAAACACTTCTCCCTTTTCCAACTATATATCTATGTGAGATTTGACTTCACGAAATTCAACCAAAATAAAATATCACAACAGATTAAATGCCGAAGCAGGTATGAGAATCCAGTTGTCTTCTATTAAACCAGATGTTAAGAGATTTGTAAAAATGCAAAACAGTGCCACTCTTCTTGCTCATTTTTGTTTTGAAAAATATAATTATTTTTCATAAAGATGTATTATTATAGTAATATGCAATGTGTTTCTTATTGTAATTATTAAATGAAATAAATAATTATTTTTAAATTTTCTCAGTTTACTTTCTAATATGCTGAATATTGATAGACATAACCCACATAAACTAAAGCTCTTTGGGGTCTTAATTTTTAAGAGTGTTGGAAAGTCCTGAGATCTGAAAGTTTGGGGACCACTAGACTAAAATAACTAGAGATACAAAGTGTTGATGAGAGGAAGAAAATTAATACTTGTTTTGAATGTTTATGTTCTGAGCTCATTCCATTCTCACGATTACCCTAGAAGGTGAATTTTTATCCCCATTTATAGGTGAAGAGACTAAGCTCAAAGAGAGTAAGTTGTTTGTCCAAGGTTATGATTTAAACCCAGGTCTGAAAAACTCCATGCTCTTTCCTCTTACCTCTCACTGCCTTCCTACTAAAGAACATTTTATTCCATAATTATAAGGTTTGGATTGATCAAAGGATTGACTTTTGCATTTGGTGTTTGAGTTCTTGGTGTGTATATGTGTGGGGGGTGGTATCTGGACAGAGAAACTGGGAGAATTAAAGATGTGACGGGAAAGGAAAAAACATAACAGTGCAGCAAAAAAGAACTTGTTATTTATAACTTTAACTAAGTGGTAAATTTTGAAAATAGAATAAAAGAAACACTTTTGGAAAAGAAGAAAATATAGACCTTTCAAGAGATCAAATATGTGATCCTCCTTGGGGTCCCCATTCCCTGCACCTTGTGCAGTGCTCTCGCCTCTAACCACACTCTATTGTTGTTGATAGTAGCTACCATTTATTAAGAGTTTCATGGTCGAGCCCAGTACCAAATGCTTCCATTTATTATCTCACCTAATCCTTACAACCTTTCTGTGTGATTGGTATTCTTATTCCAAGGTGAGACTTTGAAAGGTGAAATGATTCACCTAAAATGACATGAGGGAGTAGATGAATCAGGACTTAATCCAGGGCTGACTCCAAAGCCTACGCTCTTAACCACCATGCTATGACTGCTCCCCAAAGAATTTCAGCTCCTTGAGGACTGGGCCCAGATCTTCTTCTTCCAGATATTCCCCATACCCAGCACAATGCTTGGTACGTAGTTGGAGCTCAGTAAGTTTTTGTTGAACGAATGAATAGATGAATGCATGAATGAAATGCAGTCAGAGCTATAGAAAGCCAAACTGCTTTCCTTTTCTAGAAACCTGATTAAAGATGGGGTTGTATTGTTAGTTCAAGATGCTGGGCTGCTGAGTTTAGCTGAGCCATCCAAGGTTGCTAACTTTAATTGTTTTCTCTGATAACATTCCATAGCTATTGTTTCCCATGGTCATTATCGTACTTCATGTTACTACAGCTTATCTGGCCTGTGACAGAAAGAATGATTTTAAACAAACCCCCTGGGGCAGAGGTAACAGTTTGTAATCCTAGGTAGAATTGCTCTACTAGACTCTACAGAAGCTTGTTGCGGGAGAAAGATACATAACATACCAAAGACCTAAATATAAATTTTAGACAGGTACAACATTCTCTGATTTAAAAAGAAAAGCCAGAAGCATTGGAAATGCTTTTATATTAAATAGTTAAGAGGCTGTTAGCACCACATTTACCTTTACAAGTGAATCAAACAGTTGATAATGATAATCATAACTTACTATTTATTATATAGCATTTTTAAGGGTACAAATCATTACATCTTTATAGAAATCTGTTTGTTCAGTGTTGTAGGAACTGCTAGATGCCACTCAGTATCCATTCTTTCTTTCTTCCCTACTCATAGCATTCTGATTTTATTTGGGGTAGCAAGGTGCTTCCTTTGCAGCTAACTGTAGCCATGTAACTAAGTCCTGACCAATGAAATGCAAGTATAAGGAGTTGAGTAAAATTTCTGGCAAAAATTTAAATTGAGGGAATAAAATTCAACATCCATTTATAATTTTAAAAAAAATCTTACCAAACAAGTGATAGAAGGGAACTTCCTCGATCTGATAAAAGGAACCCAATAAACCACTAGCTAACAACATACTTATTGGTGAAACATTGAAGATTTCCTTCTAAGATCACAAGCAAGATAAAGTGCCCTCTCTGTCCACCTCTATTTAAAATTGTACTAGAGTTCCTAGCCAGCATGATAAGGCAAGAAAAAGAAAGAAGATGCATAAATATTGGAAAGAAGGAAGTTGTGATGAATCTAGACTTTTCCCCTTATTCCAAATACAAAAATTAATTTGAGATCATAGACCTAAATGCAAGAGCTTCAACCATAAAGCTTCCAGAAGAAAACATAGGGGGAATCGTTGTGACATTAGGCAGGCAAAGGTTTCTTAGGACAAAAAAATATGCTAACCATAAAATGAAAATTGATAAATTGGACTTCATCAAAACTGAAAACTTTTGACCAAAGACATTGCTAGAAAAGTAAAAATACAAACCACAGACTGGGTGAAAATATTTGCAAAACATATATTTGACAAAGAACTTTTATCCTGAATATATAAGGAACTCATACAATACAATTTCAAAAAGAATGTAATTTTTAAAAGTGGGCAAAATTTTGAGACGATACCTTACAAAATAAGATATGAGAATGACCAATAAACACATGAAAAGATACTCAACATCATTTGTCATTAGGAAAATGCAAATTAAAGCTACAATGAAACATACACTTATTAGAATGGCTAAAATTAAAAAGACTGACAATGCCAAGTGTTAGCAAGGATTTGGAATAACTAGAACCCTCACACATTGGTGATGACAATGCAAAATGGTGCATCCACTTTGAAAAACGATTTGATAGTCTCTTAAAAAAATTAAAACTACACTTATACAATTCAGCAATTCCAATTCTAAGTATCCATCCAAGAGAAATAAAAACATACATCCACACAAAGACATATGCAGAAGATAATAATAGTATTTTTCATGATAGCTAGAAATGGGAAACAACCCAAATGTCTGTCCACAGGGGAATGAATAAACAAAGTGCAGTAAATCCATACAATGGACTATTACTTGAAACAAAAAGGCACAAACTGCTCATAAACACAAAATCATGGATGAATCTCTAAAACATATTGAGCAAAAGAAGGCAGATACAGAAGTTATACTACATTATTCCATTATGAAACCCAAGAAAAGGCAAAACCAACCTAAACTATAGAAATCAGAAAGTGTTTGCCTCTGGGGAAGTAGAATTGACTGTAACGGGGCATAAGGGATCTTTCTGAGGTGATGGATATGTTCTACATCATGTTTTAGGTGGTGATTACGTAGGTATATTCAATTGTCAAAACTCATTAAAGTGAACATTTCTGATGTGTGCATTTTAGTACATGTCAATTATAGCACAAAAAAGGGGGTGAGGGACAGACACTATCTCTGATACTTGTAACCAAACACAATTCCTAAGAGTTAAAATCAGTGATAAATTCCTTTCACGGGCAAATTATTTTTGGCTATGTCAGATTCTAGTTGGGAACCACATTGAAATCTCTTAAAATGATATTATAAAAGCTGTTTGTCTTTTATAGAGATTGATGCCTTGGGTATATACAAGTATTCAAAGTCAATATACATTTGGAAAGTCATTTCATATACACTAGATTCATAGTAGTAAAAGCCTTGGTTTTGGATCAACCCAGATCTTGGTATAGATCACTTGGTACAGTCATCTGGCCTTGAGCAAATTGCTAACCTCTCAGAGCCTCCATTACTTCCTCTGAGTATAGGGATGATGAAACCTTCTTTGACCTGCTGTTATTATGAAGACCGAATGAGGTCCTATATGTAAAATCTTCAGCATAGTGTCTGGCACGGACCAAATGGTAGCTCTTGTTCAACACAAGGATATTAAATAATTTTATTTTGAACACATCATTGACTGTACAGGTAAGCCATCACAAAGCAACTTGCCCTCAACCATCACCTGGATAACACATGGTTTTAGTAGCTGGTCATAGCGTATTATAATGGAGTCACTGCCTAATTTCTACAGAATTCGATAGCAGAGAAGGCTGCAAAGGCCTTCTCCAAGTAATAAGAAAAATCTACATTTCCCAAAGTACGTCAGAGAAAGCTGCAAAAAATGTTATTTTGGCAGAAGTCATTGTAGTGGAGAAAGATACTCTGAGAAAGTGTAGGTTGCTGTCAAGTGGCCTCAGAAAGTGGTGGATAGAAGGTCTCCGAGGGGCCGGATACGGGCACAGGCCATTAGAACCTATAGTAAAAAACTCAGTCCCGTTGTCTGCAGAACATAAAGCCAAATTTGCCACATCCTGACCTATACAGGGAGACAGATGCTGCAAGGACCCAAGGCTGGAACCATGTATTAAGACGGCTTTACCTGGGTTTCTAAGAACTGGGCAACTGAGGGAGCTGCTGAGATCCAACCAGTTAGGAAGGAAATGCCAGGGAGTTAGCAAGCTCTTGCCAAGTGCAGCTCATAGTGGGGCTATCTCTACAAATAATCATTTTTTAAAGATTCCAGAGAATCATTTACTTACCTGCAAGGGTTGGCAATTTCTTCTGGCGATGTTTTCATAAAAGGGGAGACGGGCTTTTCCACAAAAGAGCCGAAGCCCAGTCTAAAGTTGCTGGTTAATTTAGACATCTCCTTGGAAAGCAGGGAGCCCAGCTCTTTGATTGTGTTGAGGTCGTCATCCATGGAAGCCGAGAGGTCCATGAGGTAATACAAGTCCACCGGGTAATCCTCGGTCTGGCGGACTTGCACTTGCAGAGTCTGTTCACCGCCTGCAAAGCCCCCACAAGAAAAGCAAATCCATAAAAACACATCGAGACTTATCTGTGACCAGCCAATCTGGGCCAGCTGGCTATTTCATTTCAATAAGGACTTACTGAAGATACTTACAATTTCATAAACAGTATGGTCAAGTTTATAAATGAGCAAGCCCATGAAAATCTCTCAGCAGTGAGTTGAGAGCTACCGAAGGAGGTGAAAGTTAGGATATTTTATATCTCCTTGGGAGAACTAGCATCCATTTAGATGGAAGATAAGCTGAATTTTTTCTTTGTGGTTTTAGAAAAGGAGAACAAAATAAAGAGGAGTTTAAAGCTACATTACAACGCTTAAAGAAATGTGAGGTAAGTCTTAACAACATTTAAGTAATTCAAATGGTTACTATTAGATAAGGCTTTCTTTCTTTTTTTTTTTTTTGTGAGGAAGATCAGCACTGAGCTAACATCCATGCTAATCCTCCTCTTTTTGCTGAGGAAGACCGGCTCTGAGCTAACATCTATTGCCTATCCTCCTCCTTCCCCCAACCCCCAAAGCCCCAGTAGATAGTTGTATGTCATAGTTGCACATCCTTCTAGTTGCTGTACATGGGACGCGGCCTCAGCATGGCCAGAGAAGCAGTGCGGCGGTGTGCGCTGGGGATGCGAACCCAGGCCGCCGGTAGCAGAGCGCGCACACTTAACCGCTAAGCCACGGGGCCAGCCCAAGATAAGGCTTTCTTAATAACACATTTGGAGTGCAATTGATCAATGTGAATAAAGAAAATGTTAGCCTAGAAATTCTCTATTTCCTTAAGAATGGGAAATCTGAGTCATAATAATTAATGATATGTAATATGGTACAAGACCTATGTATTAGCGGAATAGTGGTATTACCATACGTGACATTAGATTTATTTACATGAGCCAGTGCTTACATAAATCATAACATACCTGGTCTCAATTTAAGAGTCAAGCTTTGAGGCGAAATCTGAACAATGTTGGAACTATTCTTCTGTCTGCCTACACTGAGAGGCTTATTTGTAAGTATTTCTACTTGAGAGACAGGGTTTTCAATGAAGGTCAGTTGACATCCTTTAGCAAAGAGATTTGCTGGGGTATCACACCTTTCACCAACTCCAGATGGATGGGTAAAATTCTAAAAAAGAAAAAAACAATAAAGAGAAAAAGACAAATCTACATTTCTATAAAGATTAGAAAATTTTTTTTTTTGCTTTCTTTGCTAGTTAGGCATCTTGCCATACTCAGTATATCATCTCCCATGTGCCTGACATTGATTGTGGGTCTAAAGTTAAGTTATAGCAGAATAACCAGAGAAATCTGCCAGTAAAATTCTGAGTAAAATTAGATTCTCCTTTTAATTATACTAAATTGATTTCACCTAACAGTTTCTTTTTTGTTTTTTTTTTAATGCTTGCTTCTTTAAAGTTTCTCCTGTTCCGTGATCAGATCCTTGAAACAGTTGGGTCGTAGAGTCGACATCATCCTGTGAATTTATCTGTTTAGGATGACCTCTAGGTTCATGGAATCCTAGAACCGTTAAAACTCTCAGGTGTGTCTATTATCAAATCCAGTGACAAAGAGCCTTTTCTGTGGATTCCTAAAGGGCAAGGATTGTGATAGCTCCTCACCTAACTCTCTGTCCTGGTTTAATTCATGGATGTATCACCCATATGTTATAGCATTACTTCACTAAAGTTAACCTCTTGGGGACTTTAACTCAATGTCTTAAAGTATTCTAGTTTAAGGCCTTTTAGAACTTTCTACAAGATTTGGAGGTGGGGAAGGGAAATGAAAGAGAATACGGTGTAGAAAACTGCTTTTCTGTGTAGGCCTCAGAAGTTTCCCAGTCCTGTCTGATCCACCTGGGTAGCAGAAAGCTGTGAGATGAAGTGTTTCCAGGCAAAGATGTGGTCATTGCAACCCTGCAATGCCCAGAACAGAGAGATGGAGTCGAGAGATAAATACCTATCTTACCCGATAGCCAAGGCTGCTCTAGAGCTGGTGAAGCTCAAGGCAAAGTGGAACTTGAGGGCCATTGACTAGCATGCTTGGAGAGAAACAAACCAATGCTAATGTTGTTTTTCCTCATCCCTTAGAATTCTAAGCCACTCTTGCTGTTTCACCAATTAGGAAAGTTACATTTTTTCTGAAATTTATTTTTGAGAATGTAATTTGTTACCTCGCAGTCAGGTCTGTGCGTATTTGATTCCCTAGGCCAGGTATAGCAAACTCTCAACTTCCCATGATGTATTTAAGGCAAATGATGGCTGGACAAGGCCTCAGAATCCTTCTCAACACAGTGTCACTGCTACCACCTGTAATCAACATCTTTGCCAAAAGATCAGAGGCGAAGGTAACCATAGAACCTATTTCCTATCTGCTCTAAGCAGAAGCCTGATTTACTTTTTGCTCCAACTGCCTCAACTGATATAACTACTTCTATTAGGGTGAACTTTTTTTTTTTTTGTGAGGAGGATCAGCCCTGAGCTAACATCTGCCAATCCTCCTCTTTTTGCTGAGGAAGACTGGCCCTGGGCTAACATCCATGCCCATCTTCCTCCACTTTATATGGGATGCTGCCAGAGCATGGTTTGACAAGCGGTGCGTCAGTGCGCGCCCGGGATCCTAACCGGCGAACCCCGGGCTGCCGCAGTTGAGCGCGCGCACTTAACCACTTGCGCCACTGGGTTGGCCCCTATTAGGGTGCCCTTTTAGAATAATCCAGCCTTAAAATTTGACAATAACTTGGCTACCAAGTATCATCCACAAGTCAAGCTATCACTACTAACCTAAGAAGCCCTCTTAAATGAGTGCTAAAATATGTATTTAAAAAAGAATTCTAGAGGTGGGCATTTTGGTACACAGATCTGTTATCTTATGTCTCAAGAATGAAACTAATACTGTCTTCTTCAGGGAGTCAATGTTAAAAAAATGTGGGTTTTTCCCTCTTTGTCTATTCTCAAACCTGCTTTTGATACTTGAGCTCAAAAAAGGATAATTCCTTCACACTTTTATTTGTACCCCATCAGTCAACACAATAGTGGGGGAGTGAGTGGGGTGTGTGTTCTGTTGTCTGTGAGGCCTTCCTCCATAGATGCACATTCCACTTGGAATTTGAGTTTTAATAGTTATAGCCTGGTCCTGCATCAAGCGTCCAGGTTTGTTCCTCTTTGAGCATCCTACTCAGTTCTTGCTGAACCTGGCATTTGTATGCTTTGGTTTGTGTTTAGATTCTCTTCATGAGATTCAGCAGAGAACTGTTTTAAATCCAGAGAGAGCTAAGGCAGCTCTTTTTTGCCAAGAATCATTTACAGATTGCACTATAGTGTCACAGGAGGCAGTGACTCAGGATGGCTTGTTATATAGTCCCCAACCCCCTTATACTACTTTCACATAGTTTTGGGTTTAATCAGATAAGGAATGTCTGTTTCAGGCTTTGTCGTTGTTGTTGAACAGAGTCATCAAGCTCATGAAAAAGTAATTTTTAAAAGAATTGGATAATGTCTGAACGGTAAAGTTTACCCCAAACCCAGAACACTTTTCTTGGAACCTAGCAGTGGTTCAGAATGGATCCTGGTGCCCAAGTGGACTATAACTATGATACTGAAGACAAACGTATGTTTAACTTTAGAAAATATCATCTCCATGATCTCTGATTACTCAGAGCCTCAGCATTTTACATGTAACCAGTTAGAAACGGCTTTAAAATAAGAGGAGGAATCAGGTTAAACAAAGGATCTTGAGTTAAGTATTTTTCAGAATAATTTGACATTCCCTCCCTCCACAAATTGCTTTTGAAAGTAATCACATGAATAATGCTTTGATCTACTAATGCTTACATTTTCCCCTCCTGATTTGTTTCACTCCTATAACCCCACAGAAAGCAGGACAAATCAGAACCATCACTGATGGAATTAACAGACGTGTAACTGCAGTTTTTATAAACATGTTGAGGTCATTGGTTTTACCTCCTGAGAACACCAGGCACACTGAGGTCCAATGAGTAAGCAGTCTTCACAGGTTTCTGCACCTCCCACAGCACAGCCACCTATGTTTAAATCCAGCAAGACACAAGGGATTCAGCACACTCTCTGTCACTCCATTTACGAGCCTTATGGCTTTTAAAGTACTTGAACAAAAAAATATCAAAATTTATTTTAGTCTTCAATGATTAGTCCTCAAAATGTTAGCAATTCGTAAGAAAGTTCATATTTTACATTCATCACATTGAAAATATGTATGTCTTATTAGCAAAAAATGATCATTCTCTTTTTTCTCAAAATATGAAAAGATCTTAATGTTCACAAATATAGCATAATCCTATTTATTATCCTCGTTCAACATCATCCACTTTAATTTTTTAAAATCATTTGCATGCATTAAAAAATGCTTCTCTCTTAATTGTACTCTATTTTTATTTTTAAAATAAATCCTTTTTCTCTCTCAAGATTATTGCTCTTAAGTGGAAGACCTTGTTGTACAATAAAATAGCTAGAAAAGTTACCAAAATGGTAGTCGTAAAAACATTAAGAAGTCTCATTGTACAGTAATGCTGTTTAATTCTCCTCATTAAAATGCCCATGCAACCTTTGTGTTTATTTACCTTAAGCCCAGAGCGTTCTCTGTGGGAACAGCCCTGAGTCTGCCTGTAATTCGTTAGTGTTCGCTCAGTGGCAAAAGAGCAATTGAACAGATCAAAGAAAAAACGACTTCAGATTTAGTTCTGAACCAAATGACAGGTTTGTCAAACATACCATGAAAGCAATATATCGGAGAATTTAGTTCTTACCTTGAACGTGATCATTCCTTCCTAGAAATAGAAAGAACAGGCAAAGCAGTTCAATCCCCATTCGTTTCAGTTCTCGCTGTGCAGACAGATTAAAAAATGAATTACCTTCAACATTACCAGGTCAAAGCTGAACATCGTTAAAAGTCTTTCTTTCTTGAAGTGTAAATTTTAAATACTACTTACACTGCTTTGAAAAGAAACTTGAGATGTAAATAAAAACGTTTTCATTAAGACTGAAATGAAAACAGAGGCTACCTGGACAGGTAAAGAAGAAAAGCTGTGTTTAAAAGCAACTTCAACATGATTTACTTCCTTGTTCTCCTTATAAGGAAGGCAGGTGTACGATCACCAAGAAGGTGGGGAAATTCATTCAGTAGAAATTTTTGTGTAAATTCTATTAGTGTCTCTGCATCCTAGAGAAAGTTAATAGCTTTAGTGAAATATTGATCAGTAAAATGTCAGAAGAGCAATTGAAATATGATCTAAAGTTGTTTCTAAAATAATTTTAATTTAATGAAAACAGTAAAGATGATAAATAAAACACAAGTATATAATATAGTTATATATAACAAGGGTTTTAAAAAATGAGCTAAAGGAAAATACCTGAGATTTTTGTATTCCATTGTTAAATCCTTTGCAGAGAATTGAAATGAACTCTGAAAAATAAAAATCATTATTTTACAGTCAAATTAGAAGGCACGTTAGGGAAAGTAAAACACTGTGTTTCCTGGTTTTTCAAATTGGATGAAAGATATTTTTCCATAAGTATAGAATTCTTAGTTAAAAAGTGATATTGGAAATAAACATATGAAAATTAAATTAGCAAAAATTAGATAGTCTCAAAACAACCACAATGGCAGCAGAAACAGTAGTGCCCAGGATTCTGAATCCCTCTGGCAAGGGAACAAGTGCTTTTTCTCCTATGCTGTCCCAGCTTCTAGCTCACCTCTTGGCACATAGGACGTATTTATTTGTTGAATGAAAGACTGACAAATTTAAAATATATACACTTTATGGCTAAACTCATAAGGTTGATTATATATTTTTCTCCAATGTATTGAGGAAGGTGTTTTGGGATTTGTAGAAACTGTGAACAGGTAAGAATGAAATATACAGTTCTCTAAACCCTATAAACTATCTGACCTTAAACAGGCTTCTTTGTGGCTGGGCTTACGTCCCGGGAGATTATCTTTTAAAGGTGTATTTCAAGACAAGCATGTGAAACCTGTGAAGAGAGGAAAACTAATTATAGACTGCTCAGGTTCTTCTCAGAAGGCTATGTTCAATTTTGAACTCCATCATACACAAGAACCTGAAAGAACATGGCAAGAATCCTGTAGAGAGAAATCAGAATTATTAAAGAGTTGGAAGATATGCCTTTTTGGAGAAAAATACAGTTATATGAAATCAGTTGATTTAGCTTGAAGAAGAAAGATTGAGGCACAAATTATTTATGTCCCTGATAGTGCCTCCATTTTTGTATCCAGTGTTAGCTGTCATTCATTCATTCATCCATTCATTCAACAAATATTAATTGAGAATCTACTGTGTGCCAAGTATTGTTCTAGAAGCAAAATACATGTCAGTGAATGAAGGCAAGTTTTTGACTCATGAAGCATAAGTTCTAAGCTGGAGGGCAGTGAGGGGAGACTGATTCTTAAAATCAGGCAGTGATAAGGGCTATGAAAAATGATAAAGCTGGGTGAAAGCAAAGAGGAGTAGGGAGGGGGTCTTATTTTATTTAGGATATTCAGGGAGGATTTCTCTGGTCAGTTGACATCTGACAGAGCCCTCAGTGACTTGCGCAACAAAGTGCAAACGCCCTGAGATAGCCTCATGCTAGGCATTTTCAAGGCCAGTGGAGTACAAGAAGGGAGAGGGAGGATAGCAAATGAGGTCAGACTTAGAGACAGAGGTCATATCATATGTAGTCTTAACCTTGAGTTTTATTCTAAATGTGTTTGGAATATCATTGGAAGGTTGAAAGCAGGGGAATGATATTTAATTTACATTTTAAAAGAATCACTCTGGCTGCCATGGAGAATAGAAAGCATGGGGCAAGATTGGAAGGTGGGAGACCAATTAGAAATATATGGCTGTTGTCTAGGACAGAGATAAGTGGTTGGGATTAGGATACTGGTGACATAGGAGGATAGAGGTTGTCAGATACAGGGTACAATTTGAAAACAGAATGTGCTTATGGATTGGATGTTGATATGGAAGAAAGAGAGATTTTTGGTCTGAGCAACTGAATGTATGATACTCTTTCCTGAGAGGGGTTACCCTGGGGAAGGATCAGGTTTCATGTGGAGGGTGGGATTCAAGAACATGTTAAGTTTGAGATGTCTAGAAGGTAACCAAGTGTAGGTGCCACATAGGCAGTTTGGTATCTGAGTCTGGAAGTGGGGTTGGTGTTGAAGTGTAAACTGTAATTTTGAGATCATAAGCATGGATTTAAAGATATGAGGCTGGGGCCAGCCCAGTGGTGTAGTGGTTAAGTTCATGTGCTCCGCTTCAGTGGCCCAACGTTTGCAGGTTCGGATCCCGGGAGCGGACCTACACACAGCTTATCAAGCCACGCTGTGGCAGGCGTCCCTCATATAAAGTAGAGGAAGATGGGCACGGACGTTAGCCCAGGGCCAATCTTCCTCAGCAAAAAGAGGAGGATTGGCAACAGATGTTAGCTCAGGGCTAATCTTTCTTGCCAAAAAAAGATATGAGGCTGAATGGGATCCCAAAGGAAGGGAGTATAAGGAAGAGCTCTGAGGACTGAGTCCTGGGGCCTGCCAATATTTAGAGTTCAGGAGGAGAAGGATCCAGTAAAGGAAGCTGCTATCTAAAGAACACTCCATCTTGCTAAAAAGGTACCTATCTTTGTTGGAAGACAATTCTTCAAGTATCTTTCACATTTCTGCACATCTTGCAAGCAGAGGCACTAACTGCCTTTTTTCTGGATTATCTTTTCAAGGATGTTTGTAAAGTGAATGGCCTTTGAGGACAGAGATAGTGTCTATCTGTTGGGTAAAGGGCAAATTGCTTACAGCTTTGGAAGATAGAGATAGTGTCATCCTCCAGAACCAGGAGCAGGCATACTTACTGCCCACTATAAAAGATTCTGGTTCCCTAAACTCAAGGTTCCTCTCTTGTAACACAGCCTGCCACATGTGCTGGTGCTACCTCTTCCCCTGTGTCACCCTGTGGGAATTGGCCTTGGGCAACTGGTAAAAGAAAGTGCTGACCCTCTGGCCACTGCTATTGCAGTCCTTTATCTCTGAACCAGGCACCTCATGTCTCTCAGCATCGGTGAATCTGTGATGAGCTAACTTGCCAGCTTGCAAGTAAAAGCTCAGGCCCTTCACGGTTCTTGACAATCTCTTGCTTGAAATCCACCTTCTTCTACAGACTTAGCATGCAATTTTCAAATCTTATTTTGGAAGATAAGATATTGCATCCCACAAGGCTGCCTGAAGTGCCTTGGACTGACCAGTGCTGCTCTGGTCACTGAGTTGTCTGTCTGCCCACTGACCTTGCCGGCAACCACTGTCAGGCACTTTGGATGAGCTGGGATCAAGGATGCCTGTACAACTCTAGATCTGCCCACTCTCTAGAAACTTTTCTCTGAGGTTCTAGCTGCCACCAAAAATCTGTTCTTCCTAAAAACACAGTTAAACTACCTCTCTTAGCCTGTCTTGCAGTTAAGAGAACCCCAATGACTAGCTCTTGCCAATGGAATATGAGCGGGAGTGGTATATACCACTTCCAGACCATCTCCATGCCCCTCTGCCAACTGGATGCAGGCAGAGGCACCAAGATCCTAGGGGAACTCCAGACACTCAATTTCACCCTGTATTTAAATCGAGGAGCTGATACTATCCCACGTACAGACTTCCATCCCAGTCCTAAAATTATAATTGCACTACTTCATTTACTCTGTCCCCAATTGCAGTCCCTCCGATGTTCATTCCCTCCCCCACTTCCAAGCCTTTGCACACGCTGTCTGTGCTGCCCAGAGGCCCTTGCCTCCATCTCACTCCTCTCACTAGCTCACTCATCTCACTGCCTATGTCTCAGCATAGAGCTCAGAGCCAGCAGGGGGAAATTTTGGGTCTTTCCAGGCCTCTTCCTGCAGACTTTCTCCAGGATAGCTCTTTTCAATCTGCTTATAATCTCCTAAATACCTGCCTCTCTCCCCCTCTAGGCTGTGAGGTCCTTTAAGGCATTTATTCATTCAACAAGTATTTATTGAATTCATACTACATATCAGGCAGGGACTGTGTCTTAGTTACCTTTATATTCCCAGCACCTAACATAATGCCTAGCACTTTGTAAGTAGTCAGCTAATATTTATCAAGTAAATGGATGAATTTTCTGTCTTCATTGTCTAGTATTTTACCTGTTACAAAGCAGGTACTCCATGAATATTGAGTAAATAGATGAATAAATGGTTTGGGAGGGTACATCACGTAATTAGGAGAGAGAAAAGGTGTCCCCTGCTTGGGTTGTGATGAAAGCTGAGAAAAGACTTAAAATGCAGGGTGGAGAAAAGGGGCAGAGTTTGAGAGAGAATATAAAGTAGAATAATGCTACAAGAAAACATCCATCCACTGTGTTTTCACCTTGGCACCTCTCTGGATATTTGTCGCAGCCTATAAGGCACAGGGAAAACATTTTTGCTTCCTAAAGATGTGGTGCCTGGTGCCCTCTCCTAGAAAGTATCCATCACACCCCTGTGGAGGGAGGTGGCCCTCGTTGTTCCATGAGCTGGCCTGTACACCATAAAGTGTCCCAAATGAAAACTGTGTCCCCTTAGACAAGCCAACCAGATCAATCACCTCTGTTTCTTTATATATGAAATTTGAGCCAGGAAATACAGACTAAAAATAAGGGGTATGGTAATGGGAGCTGAAGCTAGTAGAGAGAGGACATCTGGTTGGAGGGAACATGATGCTTCAGGAATGAGTCAATGTTAGGAGGAATTGGCAGCTGCCAGGAGAAAGAAGCCCAAGGCAGTGGAAAGCTACAATGAGGAGAAGATGAGGTGGTGGGTTGAGAGTATGAATAGTAAAAGCAGCGGAGAAGAGACTGTGAGCCACACGGACTAAAGAACCCCGGAGTCAGATCCACAAACTCACTCTGTCGAGGGGAAGATGTGTGGCCCAGGCCGAGAGCTGCTCCGGATCCCAAATGCCCTTCCAGACTGGATCTCTCTGAGGCCCAGCTCTTCCTGGGTTTCCCCAGGATCCTGTCTCTTTTAGGGCAATGTGTATTCTTACAACAAATTCCCATTACTCATGGGTAGTTGAGGGAGTCTCTATATTCCTTAAAATCAAGAGATCCTAAATCACACCATCTACATTTTCAGACAGGCTTGTCAGGCCATAGGATAGATTCCTACCATCCCAATTGCTGAGAGCCCCAGCCTGGGGGCTCTGACTCCATCTGGGGGTCTGACCTTCTTCAAAGAGTCTGAGCTGGGAGGCAGGTGGAGGAACAGAACACCACACAGCTCAGGAAACAGCACCTACTCTACTCTGCCCTTCAACTGGTCTTTGTTTCTGAGATTAAGGAATGGGGTCTTCAGCAGAGCCCTGACTTCAGGAAGCCTTGTGAACCCATCTGACTCACTGTATTTTGCTTGGGTCTCCCCCAGACCCAG